AAAAACAAAAAAATAAAAAAAAAATAAAAAAAACAAAAAAAATAAAAAAAAAAAAAAAAAAAAAAAAAAAAAAAAAAAAAAAAAAAAAAAAAAATTATAAACGATTATAAACGATTGTAAACAAACATAATAGGTAAGCAATACATAATTAAGAAAGAGAACATTACCTGACTCAACCAATTGCTGTGATAACAGTTTGTGAAGTCATTTGAACTTATATTAGATATAAAATCTGAAAACATTTCTTCTATGTAAGCCTTAAAAGTTTCCTTTACTACGGCCTGGGTGGGATACACATGAAATGGGAAGAGGCGTTTTGCAACACCAGTAAATGCATCCTATAGAAATTCTAACTTAGAGTTCTAATTACATCTATATATATTGACATATATCAAATATTCATGTTCAAGACCTTCTGAGAAAGTTTATTTTCAGTATCACATTGCTGCTATTTTACTTCAGCCTTGATTTCTCATATATCTTCATTGATCTTTTTAAGTAAATGGTATAGCTGCTAGTGCTGTGTAAATAGCTTCTCATCTACCCGCCGGCAGTATTGGTTTAAATGTTCTTCAATTCAGTTTTTTTTTAAAAAAAAAAAAAAAAATTCCTTTCAAAAAAAAATCTAAGAAAAAAAAAAAAAAAAAACTTATATACCATTACAATCACGATTGCGTGGCTCATTTTGATTGGAAGATTGTCAATCTTATGATCAGGATCTTTCTCGTAATTGCGATCTATTATGATCGATAGATCAAGAACGAGATAGAGAACAAGATAGAGTATCTTGTCAAGATGGAGTATCTTGTTGAGAGTAAGAGGTTTGTCATAAAAGAAATAGATTATGTGATTGGGTAGTATGTCCTGATTTTGTTTGTTTTCCTTTCATTTTCTCAAATATATTTTGTACACTTTTAATGCTTTTATATGAATCGGATGAATCACTGTCACTATTTTGAGAACTAAAAGTTGGAGGCACCGATTGTGAATGGGTTGTATTAGTAGAAATAGAGGTAGGAGAACAGAATGTATTGGTAGGAAAAGAGGTAGGAGAACGGGTTGTATTGGTAGAAATAGAGGTAGGAGAACAGGTTGTATTAGTATGAGTAAGAGAACAGGTTATAATGGTAGGAGAACAGATTGTATTGATAGAAGAGCAGGTTGTATTGGTAGATGTATTAGTAGAAGAAGATAAGTTGGGCGAAGTGTTATTGATAGGATTTTCAGAAGGTGATATGTTATTAGTATCGTTGTTATCCATTTCAAAAATTTTCAAAAATGTTTTACTTTTTGATTCTCAAAGAGTTATATTTATATATCTATAAAATTTAAGAAATAGATAACTGATGATAAACTTAGTCGTTATATAACAAAAAGAAAAAAATACATCATACGTATAGTAATAATTTATTGAGTCTAAGAGAGATGATGTTAATTGTTATGTAGCAAAAAAAAAAAACTTCATTTGTAAACATACATGTAATGACAATTTATTTATCTAAATAGATGAGTATTAATCATTATGTAGCAAAAAAAAAAAACTGAAAGTATACTTATCTCATTTGTTGTTTTGGTCATTTGCGTATAATAACGATAAATATAATTACATATATAAAACAATTTGCTGAGTTTCTCACTGCGATTTGAAATATAACGAATAATATATACATAATATACTTTTTGTTTATAATTTTATATCATATAAATAATTATATGCTTTGTTTTGATCGAAGAGAAGAATTGCTAAATTGATAAGGGTCATTAAAATCTCTAAATCTCTAAATCATTGCTCACTGCTACATCCTTTACTCTTTTATTACCATTTCTTATTTTGTCTTTACAATCCAATATATTACTAATTCATACTTTACTCTTTCTCTTTTGCTTTACTTTCTTTTCACTTTCTCTTTCGTTTCATCTCTTTATTTATTTCTTTAAATCTGAGAAACAGAATTCTGTTCAAATTCCGGTATTCTGGCTCTCCACTTTTATTTTTTTGCCATCTTTTTTTGCTATTTTCATTATATATCGATATTTATTATTAACATATGTAATTTCTCCTATTAGCTCTCTCATAATCATTCATATCCATTTATAATCTCCTTTTATATTTTGTTATCTAACATTCTTTCACTTTCTTTAATCATCCTTTCTCTTTCCCTTGTTATTTTTCTTTATTCCTATCTTCTAAAAATGCACTGGCAGTGTGAGCATTGTAATTGAAATTTTTCAAAATTATTCGCATTAATTCAACATATTTCACAAAGTCCCAAGAAATATCAAATCAAGACATTTTAGCTGATGAATTGGATGATAATATTTGGGAGCTTCTAGAATACAGTCCTTATCCTCAAGAAATATCGAATTAAGACATTTCAGCTAATGAATTGGATGATAATATTTGGGAGCTTCCAGAATACAGTCCTTCAGAATATGACTCAAATGATTCTATAATTTTGGAGGTAAATTTTTATAATAGATATAAGTAATAAAATGTTATATAACAATATATATTATTTAGGATGAAGACATATCAGCATCATCTTATTCTGATATAGAAATAGACACTCCTTTGGCAAATGTAACCTCTTTTGTAGAATGTGATCTTGAAGATTATAAGGGTGCTTTGTTAGAAGATGCTTTTGATGACTTGCAAAATCCACCAACCATTAAATAGCCCAACGAAGCTTATTGTGAGTTTATGGAGATAGTTAATAAGCACCAACTATCTAATTTGGCTAGTGATTCTTTTATAAAATTCTTCAATAAATTTTCCAAATTGGATGTATCACCATTACCTCCATCAACAAGAATTGGAAGGGAATTTCTGAACAATTCTTTCATCCCTTATATGAATGTTAAAGAAACTCTGATTAGAACATTTCAAAATATTGAAAATACATTATACTATCGACCAATAATCAAAACAATAAAATCCCTAATAATGGTCGATAGTATAAATCAATCATTGGTTCTTCATTATGAAAATAAAATTGGAATAATAGATAGTGCTGAACATCGAGTATTTGAAGAACAGTATAAGAATCGATATTACTTCCAAACAACGATTATTATTGATTATTCTCTATTCAGATGTGACAACACTTGATCAAATAGGAAAATCCTCTAAGCACCCAGTATTTTTTTTATTTTTATTTTTTATTTTATTTTTTTAAAAGCGCATCTAAGCATACTTTATTTATTTATTCTTATATAAAATAGTATACATATTTATATATTAGGATTAATATATTTAAGAATATTGTTAGTTTTTTCTGATTTGGAAAGAACTTTTTTGCTAGAAAGTTTTTGTAAAAGTTTGATTTCATGTTTGATTCTTATAGTTATAATGTT